CAGTATTCAAACACATTAACTGAATGGTCCAAATTACATGTTCTTTGTAGTAGATGGCAGTTTGGTTTGAAAACCACACTCCATACAGACAAAGGACTTGCTTCCCTTCCTTGATGTCTGGCAACATGTCTGGGACTTGACCAAACAAATTAAGGCTGGGGCCTGTTGTATTTTGGAGACACCATCAAACAAGTTGTCAGCTGTCCCCTGAATGAGCTCCGAACCTTGTCTGCACTCCTTTGTGTTTTATTACATTCCCGTCTCTTGTGCTGTTGAGGGCCACCAAGCAAAATGATGTAATTTATTTTTGGAGTCTTAAAATCCTTTAATAACCAAGTTCCTTGGCACTTCCCCAGCTCCCCTCTCACCTGAGCCTGATCCCTTTCCATCTCTAACCACACTTCATTCTAGATTTCTTACTGTTCAAAGCACCCCATTTAATACACGCCTGCTCTGGGCCATTTCTCTCTGCTTTTCAAAAGTCATCTAATGAGATCATCAATCAATTAATAATGTTGCTATAAGGAGACAAGTCCTACCACCTAACTTCCCAGATAAAATGTGTTTTTTTTAATTGAGGTATAATTTACATGCAGTAAAATAGACAGAGCTGAAGGGTACAGTGTTGTCAAATGTGTGTTTCGAGAGTTACATTTTGGAGAGTGATTACAACGGAGAGACGGTGGAGCCAGGGCAGCGTGTCTCAGTAGAAGACTAGAAACTAACATGGGCCCATAAATAAAGTTTTATCGGAACACAGCCATGCTCATTCACTTACATATCTGCCTATGGCTGCTTTCACACTGCAATGGCTGTAAAGCCAAAAATATTTACTATCTGGCTCTTTATTGAAAAGGTTTACCAACCCCTGGGTTAGACCATTTAGGTAATGGACTTTGGGCAGGTAGATCTCCCCCTCCCCATGTTTCAGTACTAATGAAGACTCGAGACCTGGGCAGTATTCGCACAAGTAAATCAACATTGGGGGGGAGGGGGCGAGTTTTCACTTTGTAGCCATGAAAAGAAATGCAAAATAAAGTACAGTAATAAAGCGTTCTTCTTGTTCTTGCTAATAGAGCAAGAAGAAAAATAGTAATACTGTACTAGCAAAAAGACGAGGGAAAGCAGAAAGATCACTACAATTAACATCATTATGAACTGTCTTACCCCTTCTTTCAAACAATTTGGCAGAACTATCAGTCACCAAAGTGTTCATACCCTTTGACCTAATAATCCTACTCCTGGAAATCCATCCTAAGGAACCATTCAAAAGACAAAACACTATGTGTCAAGATACTAGAATCAGTGTCTTTCTAATAAAATGCAACCTGAAATGTTTATCAATAGGAAATGAATCTTTTACTCAAATACTATATGTTCAAATAATAGACATGAAAAAGATATGCTACCATAAACAACTATACAAAAACTAAGCATGATAGATAAAGTTTGGAAAAGACCATGGAGACACAATTAATACTTAGGTAAAGGGCTGTAGACATACAGTTTAGAAAAATATCTGATTTCGGGCCGGCCCGGTGGCGCACTGCTACAGTGCGCCGCTTGGGAGCGCGGTGCCGCTCCCGCCGAGGGTTCGGATCCCACATACAGACCGGTTCCCGCTCACTGGCTGAGCGAGGACTGTACTAGCAAAAAGACGAGGGAAAGCAGAAAGATCACTACAATTAACATCATTATGAACTGTCTTACCCCTTCTTTCAAACAATTTGGCAGAACTATCAGTCACCAAAGTGTTCATACCCTTTGACCTAATAATCCTACTCCTGGAAATCCATCCTAAGGAACCATTCAAAAGACAAAACACTATGTGTCAAGATACTAGAATCAGTGTCTTTCTAATAAAATGCAACCTGAAATGTTTATCAATAGGAAATGAATCTTTTACTCAAATACTATATGTTCAAATAATAGACATGAAAAAGATATGCTACCATAAACAACTATACAAAAACTAAGCATGATAGATAAAGTTTGGAAAAGACCATGGAGACACAATTAATACTTAGGTAAAGGGCTGTAGACATACAGTTTAGAAAAATATCTGATTTCGGGCCGGCCCGGTGGCGCACTGCTACAGTGCGCCGCTTGGGAGCGCGGTGCCGCTCCCGCCGAGAGTTCGGATCCCACATACAGACCAGCCGCTCACCGCCTGAGCGAGGTGCGGGCGCAACACCGAGGGTTGTGATCCGTTGCCGGTCACGAAAAAAGACAAAAAGGAAAAAAAAAAAAGAAAAATATCTGATTTCTAAAGGTCCTCGAACCAGCTTTGACAAGTCCACACACACTGTCATTAGCCCTTTTATAAGGCCTTGCATATGAAGATGACACACACATACAGACCACAGGACAGGAGCCTCTGAGAACACATTTCTTATGAAGACATGATGATTACCAATACTTCTGTCCAAATCAATTTATACCTATAATCTCCACTTTAGAAAAAGTGAATTCATAGTTTTCATAACCCTTAAGGAACTAACAGGTGACTCAGGAAAAAAAAGAGAAATTCCTCTCAAATACAAAAATTAGAATCACACTAGTAATCCAGCCATTGTATCTATCAATATCTTTAGACTTTGGTGCAATTTCAAGGCACTCTCTTTTACTAAAGGACTCTTGACTTTCCTGTTTTTCCATTTCATCCAAAGCATGGTAAGCATTGGCCTATAAATTAAATTTAAATAGAAATGAATAGCATCAAAGTGCTTTCTATCAAAACCATTGATCATTTTCACAGGCAATGTAGGCAAATTTTTTTGTTTTTGTTTTTTTTTTTGTCTTTTTCGTGACCGGCAACCGCGCTCAGCCAGTGAGCGCACCGGCCATTCCTATATAGGATCCGAACCCGCGGCGGGGGCGTCACTGCGGCAGCCGCACTCTTTTTTTTGTCTTTTTCGTGACCGGCAACCGCGCTCAGCCAGTGAGCGCACCGGCCATTCCTATATAGGATCCGAACCCGCGGCGGGAGCGTCACTGCGGCAGCCGCACTCTCCTGAGCACGCCACGGGCTAGGCCTGGCAAATGTATTTTGTTCAAACCAGTCTTGCAAAGACTTGCTGACTGGGAAAAGAAACCCTACAAAATAAATGTGCCAACGGGGGGTGGGGGGGAGAGGAAATCCTACAAAAAGATTGTGCCAGCTTGTAAAAAAAAAATGCTGCAAAAGAAATATGCCAACTAGGAAAACAAAAAGCCCATCCACAAAACATTATGGTGCTATTTGTTTTTTATGTTTTTATGACACTCAATAGAACCATGTACAGTGGTCATGACATAACCATTTTTGGAGACCTGTGGGAGACAGTTTCCTCTCTGACAGGTGGGAGGGCAAAACCTCATGCTTCCTGAGGCCAAAGGCTCACATATCACATGCCTTTTGCAAACTGTGAAACACAATTTAAATTTAATTAACAAAATTAAACAAATTGTTGCCTGGAAACAACTCAAATGTCCATTAGCCGATGAACAGATAAACAAAATGTGGTATATCCATACAATGGAATATTATTCAGCTGTTAGAAGGAATGAAGTACTGATACATGCTACAATGTAGATATACCTTGAAAACATTATGCTAAACGAACAAAGTCAGACACAAAAGACCACATATCATATGATTCCATTTACATTAAAAGTCCAGAATAGGCAAATCAATAGAAAAAAAGTAGACTAGTGGTTGGCAGAGGCTGGGGTAATTGGAGGGGAGTGAAAGCTAAAGGGTACAGGGTTTCTGTTTGCAGAAATGAAACATTGTAAAATTAACTGTGGTGATGGTTGAACCACTCTGTGAATACTATAAATACCAGTGAACCTTATACTACCAACAAATGAATTGTATGGTATGTGAATTATCTCAATAAAACTGTTTAAAAACTTTTTCAAAACAAGCTTTAGTGCTGTGTTTAAGATCCATAGAAATCATTAACATTATTTTTACATCTATCATAAAGAAAAGCAAATCTGAAATCAGTCTTATTTCCATCAAGTTTTTAAATATATTGAGGACAATGCTCTTTTAAAGCTTAGTATGATTATCACTGAATCTTTTACAGTAGGTAGTTTTTTAAAGCATTAATTTTTTCCCTAACCATTTTTTGTCTCTTAAGCAATTATTTGACAAAGTTTCAAAGTATTTGAAAATATCTGAAAGCCAAACAATTGCTAACATCCACGAAGAGAAAAAAAAGTCTTATGTTTATAAAGAAAAATGTCAGACACTTAGAAAACGATGGCTTCTTTCCCAGAGAAAGGAGGGAAATGGTTTTTTTTTTCTTCCCTTCCTTCCCTCAAGGGAAATGTGTTCATTTGGAAACTTTTCCTTTCAAAATTTCATTCTTGCTAGGAAGCTTGATATTCCTTAGAAGCTTTATATTCAACCTTAAAGGAGAAACTCATATTTCTGGTCTTACTCTTCCTTGAGTTCAGAAGGTATTTTCTAAGGGATCCTTAAAACTTCTTGGGAATGCTGCTGGACACCCAAGATGCCTGGGGTCCCCTCTCCTCCAGCCCCTTTAGCACCTTGCCCTTCCCCTTGGATCACACTCTGCCCACCTGTTGTGAGACCCTAGGGGGCTAAGACCAGTCAAACAGACATGAAACAATGAAATAAGAGCTGGTTTCAATGGAGTGGAGAAATCCACCGATTCCAAAGCATTGAGTGTGAATCGGGGCTCTTCTTCCCAGTTTCTGTTCATCTCCAGGGGCATCAGTAACTCACAAAACAGCCCACTGAACAAGGTGTCGTGCAGATTAGGTGAGAAGGGGCATTCAATTGCATTGCACCGAGGCTCTCTCCAAGGAGAACTTTCCAGGGAGAGGAACGCCCAAGGCAGAGGGTCAGCGGGGCCAGGGAAAGGTGACAAGAAGAGTCAGAGCTGCTGGAGGGGACAGGGGGAGCCTCCCCCAAGAGAGCTGGGGCTCTGCACAGTCACATGAACGACGCTCAACGTCTTGTAAAACAAACGATCTGGGAAACTTACTTAGTATCGAATTTTCAGTTTTGAAAACAGTTCTTCTCATTCCCAGCCTCATTGTTCCTCCCAAACCGCCAGGGCTGTGCTCGGCCGTATCAATCACCTTAGGAAACAAAACAAGTCGGGTTTTGCCATCTTGTAAAAAGGTAATTTCCCAGATTTCACGCTTTGCTTTTAGAGGAACGATCACTGAGTAAGCACGTCCCCTGAACAGTGACATCTGATCAGCCCTCCCACTGTTCCTGTTCCAGTGCTTTCCACCCTCCTCATGCTGTGCTTTCTTTTCATCTCCGCTTTTCATCTTTCATTCAAATCACTCGTAAAAAATTTATCAGGAGCGTTTTTATGACCTTCCTCCTGTCATCACTCAAACTGTCAGTTCCAAGCAATGTTTATACTTCAAGTTCTGGACTTCTGGGGCCTCCTACTTCGGTATTCATGGCTCTCCTATGATAACCCTCTTCCCTAAAGAGTGTTCATAAGCAAATCTGTCAGTCCTTGTGGAAAAGTACACCGAAAGTACTTATTTACAGAAAACCATTAGAAGGGTCCCTTTAAAAAAAGAGAAAGTAATACCATCCTTTCTAGCACATTCTGTAGGTCACAAACCTAAGCAGTACTCTTGATCACTCCCTCTTTCTCATGCCCAATCTGTCAAGTCCTGTCCACTTAACCCCCTCCGGCCTTCCAGCATCCATCCACCTCTCCCCAGCCCCTCTTCCAGCTCCGACTGGCCACCCAGCATCCACGTGGCCCCAGCCCACCTCGCACACACTGCAGGCGGGTGACCCATTCACACGGCAAATCTCAGCGTGCTCAAAACCCTTGACCGCGTGGTGTCAGCCCAGCCTGCCCCTCCAGCCTCATCTCCCATTCCCTCCCCCTCTCACCCTGAGCACTGGTCCCCACAGCCTTCCTTCAGTTCCTCAAGTGCATCTTCCTTCCTCCCACCACAGGGACTTGGCACATGCTGTGCCCTCTGCCTAGAACACCTCCCTCCAGCTCCCCACTGTCTTTTCCTACATGAAACCATCCTTTGCTCTGAGAGCTCAGTTCAGCTACCCAATGTCAGCTTCTCCAGGAGCCATAGCCTGGTCAGGGTCCCCTATCTATGCCCTCGCAGAATGAGGCTCTTGCTGTCACCACCCTTCTCTGTTTGTGTCTGGCAAGTGCTTTCTTTTAAAGTCATTAGACTACAGTTGAGTGAGCCAACCCATCCTAGTGGACATGCTAGGGCTCTGCTCTCATGAAACCTTTCTTTCCTTTTGTGTTGTTTTCTTCCATATGTGGCCACATACTGCTCTACAGGAATCTTTCACAACTGGAACTTCCTGAGCTAAAAATTTTCTATCTTATCAGTGCCCAAGAAGAACTTTCAGAACCATCAGAACCCTGTATCCCAAGCACACTCCAAGAGTCACTTTGGGTAAGGGACAGAGAAAAAAATCTGATTCCGTCCCTTGTTGGATGGAGTGCTCAGTTCTGAAGTGCTCTTGGCCTTGGCATCTCTTCCCTGTCTTCTTGGGCTGGCTAATTATGGCTAGGTTAAGTATCACTGGGGTAAGGTAGAAAGGGCATTAGCTTCCAGTTCACAAAGTTGAGCTGATTATAAATGCCCGGCCTGTCTATGTGTTCTCTGGGAAAGGGCAGGTTAGATGCACTACTTGCCCCAGACTCATAAGAAGTCCTAAGTGCATTCAGAGCCTCAATTTCCATTTAAGTTGAAGAAAAACCGAACCATGTACGCAGACCACAGCAGTAAACTCCCCCAATTTCTTGACAGAAGTGGCCTGTGACCCTTCAGTCCACCCTTGCTGTGTTGTGTCCAACTACCCAGGAAGAGTCTTTGAATGTAGTTTGTTCAGTTATTGGTGAGTTTGGTGTTCAAGAAATGTTCTGGTATGAACCATTGAGACTAGAGAAAAATTACCCGACTAAGAATAGGAAAGCTACCTTACTGCTTACTTGGGACGAAATGGACAGACACCTCAAGACCAGAAAACATTTCCAAAATTAAAGTGTGGGGGTGGATGGCGAGGCAGTTAGCTCACCTGGTTAGAGCACAGTGCTGATAACACCAAGGTCAAGGGTTCCAATCCCCACACCAGCAAGCCACCAAAAAATAAATAAATATAAAAACAAAGTGTGGGGGTGGGAAGGGAGAGGAGGAAAATGCGGTGGACCCAGGACTATCTAAGGACATTTTGAAAATACTCCAACACAGGGGGAAGTCTAAAAATTCCTGAAAGAGCAATATGACAATATTATTTAGAAACATGGACATAAATACCAGGAGAAACAGCTAGAAGAATTAAGGGGAATTGAGAGGGGCTGAGGATTACTGACTTTTTCATTATAGGCTTTTCAGAACTGTTGGATTTTTAAACTTTGTACATGGTATTATTTTAATGAAAATACAAGTTTAAGGCACAAAAAGTGAAATGTACTATTTAGGCCTTAAGCTAGGGATTAGTTCACATAATCCCTGCCGTTTTCAGAAGTCATAAATACTACCTTATTCTGAAATGATAGCACAGAAAGAAATCCCAAGATATAGCATCCACGGTGATCCTCTGATCAAAACGTGCTGGCATAGGAAGCAGTGGAGAACGCAAAGTGTGTTAGAGAAGAGGAGGGTGAGCAGATGGAAATAGATCTCCAACTCCAAATGATGCCCTGAACCTCAGCAAAAGGAGAAAAGCAGAGCGAACTGGCAGGAAAGTGGCTGATGGAGGGAGGGTGGAGAAGGGCTCTCTCTGGGCCTGGCTTAGGAGACCTCATCCGGGACACCCTTCGCACACCCAGGCAAAGAAGGACATGGGCCAGGCACAAGCTGGTGGAACCCAAACACTCAGGAAGGGGAAGGCTGAGGCCAGGCAGAGAACCGTGCCTTTCTGCCCACGCCTGGCACAACCAGTTGCCCTGCAGAGTTGTCAGGCAACCCTACAAGCTCTACTGACTGCCTCTTGGGTTATAAGCAACCTGATTCAGCAATAAAAACTAACAAAGAGGTCTTTGTTTCTTGAGTCCTTTCCACAAAAAAGCCTGAGACAGGAGAACACCACAGTTTAAAAACATATCTATTTTATCATTACCGGGGTGGTTAAAGAAAAGACCCTCAAATGTGCTCTAGATTTACTCTCAACATTTCCAAAATACCCCCAGATTTTGCATCTAAAAGGAAAACACTTCTTCCACTGCAAATGGATTGCCTTAGCCCCTCTAATTTGGCCTAAATACTGCTTGTCATCTGATCCCCAGATCTGTCCTTTCTTGGAACTGAGCCACACAGCATAGGAAAAAAAAAAGGATCGTTCAGTGATAAAGCTTTAAGAAATGTAAAAGCACCACATAAGGATATCTATGGCACTAATTAACCTTTACCGATGTTGTCCGCAGCCCGTGATAAAAGTCTAATGGGTTCAATTCTTAACTTGTTCAAGACTTAAGAGCGTAATAGGTTCAAGCATCCCGGGCTCCTTAAACATCAAAGTCTAGGAAAGGCAGGTTCTCCTGAACGGCAGTGTGTATGGGACCCACCTGATCGAGCCCTGGAAAGCCAGCTTCCCTCACGTTCCTTGTCTTTGGAGAGTTCACATGGGGACAATGAGAAAGTCTACGCCCAGCAGACCATGTCCAGTCTTTCAGACAACACACACAGTGATGCTCTCAGACCTTCTAGTGTGTTCTTCAAGTACTCTTTACAAAGATTCCCTAACCGTTCCTTTCCTGCAGTCTGTTAGGTTTTTCTGTTCATTTTTTTTTTCAAGCCTGACTCTGATTTTGATTCCTTAGGAGTCACACTCAAGTTGTACATAAAGTATGAATCGGTTTTATGTTAATATCATGCTACCTATGTGGTGGCATGCTGCTAGCTCCAGCGACCTCTGTCATTGCAGATCCAATCTCAACTCTTCTGGGCGGCACTCGGGCCCCACCTCCTGCAGGAGCCCATCTAGCTGTGCTCTCGCCTTACATGCTAACCCATGGTTTCCACCTCAGCTACATGGCTGCATCACCGATGGCTCATCTGTCCCCCATCCCACCACCCCACCACGCCCAACCTTCTTCAATACTTTTCCTAAGACTCCTCCTCCCCACCATTCCATGCAGGCTCATGCTTTAGGGGCATCTGCCAGTTCTCCTTATTACCCCATAATTAATACCATAGTTACATTCACCCTACCAAATAAATAACCTGTACATTGTTCATTAATTTTCAGTTAGTCCTCATAGGAGGCTGAATAATACCCCTTCAAAGAGGTCCATGTCCTAGTCCCCAGAACCTATGAATCTGTGACCTTACATGGCAAAAGGGACTTTGCAGGTGTGATCAAGTTAAGGCTCTTAAGATGGTAAGATTATCCTAGGTTCTCTGGGTGGGCCCCATGTAACCACAGGGCCCTTAAAAGAGGGAGAGTAGGAGGGCCAGAGTCACAGAAGGAGATGTGACCAGGAAGCGGAGATCTGAGAGAGAGATTGGAAGTTGCTACGCTACTGGCTTTGAAGATGGAGGAAGGGGCCATGAGCAGGTGACCTCTGGAAGCTGGAAAAAGCAAGGAAACGGATTCTTTCCTAGAGCCTCCAGAAGGAACACAGCCCTGCTGACCTACTTCTGACCTCCAGGACTGTAAGAGAAGAAATTTGTGCTGTTTCAAGCCACTGAGCTCATGGTCATTAGTTACAGCAGCAATAGGAACCTAATACAGTCCTTTACTGCATGCAGCTTTAATCTTCTCCATCATTTCGTAAATACATCTCTCATAAGCTAAAGTGTGGGCTCAACAAGCACAAGGGCTAGATCTTTTTCTTCTCTGTCTCCACCAGATTTTGGCACAGATTATGTGCTCAATAATGAAATCTCCCTGTGTTTTTAAGTTTAACAAAAACTAACAGAGGAGACTAAGGGACAGGTTGGTAGGCCTGAGATTAGCCAAGTGGGGGGGGGGGGGGGGGGGGGGGGGGGG